AATTTAAGTTGAAAACTATATAAATATATAAATATTTTTTAAAATTTTTTAAATATATAATAATATGTAAATTTAAAATTAAAATTATTTTTTTGAATAAAATAAATAGTTTTCTTTTTGTAGTACTTAGATTTATAAAATGAATAAAATATATAAATATAAAAAAAATTTTTTTTATTTATATTTTTTTTATAAATTATTAGTATTTTACTTATTTTAAGACTTTTAAACAATAAAATCAATTTATTTTAGTTTAGTATATAACAATATATATTACTTTTATATAAAATATAAAGTTAAAAATTTTTAAATAAAATAAAATAAAAACTTATTTTTTATCAAAAATTTATTTGTTTTGCTAGTTTTTTCAAGATTTTAATTATTATTTATAAAGATAGTACTGCAACTAGTTGCAAATATATGATGTTTATTTGTCACTAATTGTAACTAATTGCAATTCAATTTTTGTTAATATCAAAACTAGTTATAATTTTGTGATGCTTATTTATTACCAGTTACAACCAGTTGTAATATTATCTTTAATTATTTAATAAAAAAGTAAGTATAATAATATATTATATATTTATATTTTTGAAAATTTATATTATATAAAATATTATTAAACTCCTTATTTTTATATTAGAACTTTTCTTATATATATTTGTATAATATTAAAATTATTATATTCTCTAAAAATAAGCAAACCTAAATTAATTTAATATTTAAAAATAAGTATTTAATTAAATTAAATAAATAAATTTTATAAAATAACTTAAATAAAACTTTTAATTTTAAAAAAATTTTATTTTTAATGTTTCAATATATAAATCACGTTAAACATAATCTTTAATATTATTTTCAATATTATTATCAATATTATCATTACTATTAATATTATTATCATTATCAATATTATCTTTATTAAGATCTCTAAATCAAAATCTAAATTAATTAATATTTTCATAAATTTTAAAGAATTCTATAATAATTTTATCAGAAAATTTTTCTTATGACTTTTTAAATCACAAATATATATTATTAAATCTTGTATAATAAAGATTTCTTTTAATAATTTCTCTAATAACATTATCAATTATTCAAATATGCAATTCTTTATGAAGATTATCTTTGAATAGTTTATTTATTGTAATATCCAATGACTAAGAAATGCTAATCAACTTATCTGAAATTATTATAAAATTAAAGTCAATTTTATAAAACTTTTTTTTACTGATTTTTCTAAATAACTTTTAAAAAAATTATATATAAGTGTTATTAAATTTTGTCTTTATAAGGCTAATCTATAATTTTTTATAAAAACAGTTAACCAACAGTAAGATATTTTAAAATTTGATTTATCACAAAAAAATTCTATATTTGGTCTTTTTAAATTTTTAATATTCTACTTCATATTTTGTATAGATAATTATGAGACTTGCTTTTTTATTCTATAATTTTTTATAAACCTTTTTTAACTTTAAGATAAAAGACGCTTTATCTATAGCTAAGCCTTTTACTTTTTCTTTTTGTTTAGTTATCTAATTTGAACTTACAGCTGTTCAATATTTTACTATATTATAATTAATGTCAAAGTGCTCTACCATCTTAATATATTTATATGCATAAGTAATAACTTATATTTTCTATTTGATAGAATACAAAATTTATGTACTTTTATAATTTTACTTTTAACAATTTTTTTTTGTAAAATATAGTATTTTTATTTAGCTAAATAAAACTTTTTCATGATTTATAAGATATTGATAATTAATGTGATTAACAATCATAAGATTTATCAATAAATTGATAGAATTTTGGATTATTATCAGTATTTAAATAAATTTGTCAAAATATCTGAAAATAAGTAACAATATAATAAAAAATATGTTGCTTATTTTTAAAGAAATATGATAATTTAAATAATTAAATAAATTAGATTACTATTTATCATATAAATACTTTATAATAAAAAGAAAAAACTACCAAAAAAATTTTTTTTTATTTTATAAGCTAAATATTATTTTTTTTTAGTAAAATAATCCAGATTTAACATTAATTCAAAAAAATTTTTTTTGATAGTATTCTCTCTTTCTATTGCAAAGTATCACATTTTAATATATTTATTTTATTAATTAATTTAAAAATTTAAAAAAATTTTATATTAAAAAATATTATTTATTATTCTTTTATATTTTATATAATATTTATAAAATTAAAAATAACTTATAATTTATATATACAAATTAATTTTTAATATTTTATATAAATAATTAGAAGAAATTTTATAGTAATTATATAGGCAAATTGTTTATAAATCTATAATAGGAGATAATATTTATATATAATATAAGAATTATAAAATTTATTTAAAAATTTATTTTTCATAAATATAAAATATATATGGGAGGGTTTCTAAGAAAATCAAGTTCTGAGAAATTTTTGACTTAAATTAAGAGCTTAATACATTTTAATCTAATAATATCAAAAACTAAAATGCAATAAAAATCTCAATTTTGTTAAAAAATTCTCAGAACCTGATTTTCCTAGTAATCAACCCATATAAAAAATATTTTAAAAATTTAGAAAATTTATATAAAAGTATATTTAAAAAAATATATATAAAAATATATTTAAGAAAGATTTATAAATATAATTTATCTGAAATTTTTTTATTTTTATTAATAGCAAAATCATATTTATCAATAAATATCTAAATTTTTTTAATAAAACCTTATAAATTAAATTATAAAATATAATTATATAATTTTAATTATTAATAATTTTAATAATTTTTAATCTTTAATTTTTTTGTATTATAAAAAAAAATGTAAAGTATTATTATTATAAAAATAATAAATTAAATATAAAATTATTATACTTAAATACTAAAATATAGTTAAATTAAACTAAAAGATTATTAAAAAAATTTATAAAAAACACTTAAATCTTATAAAAATTTATTAATATAAGAAATATATAAAAATTTAAATTAATTATAAATAGATATATAAATAATAACTTTTTAGTAAGAAAATAATATAAATTAATAATAAGTAATAATATAAATATATAAATAGTAAGATAATCTAAAAATTATAATTTAAATCTAAAATAGTTATAATTTATATAAATTATAAATATTTATAGAATTAAAAATTTTTAGTTATTTTAATTCAAATATTAATAAAAATTATATTTTAATATAAAATTGATTTTTAAATTATAATTGTATAGTATCTTTTAAACTGTAAAGCAGGCAAATTTACCTGTAAATATAAAAAAAAGTATTAATTTTTTAATAAAAAATAAAATATTAATAATAATAATATAATTATTATATAAAAATATAATTTAATATATATTTTATCAATTTTATTAAAAGAAAATTTAATTTTATTAAGAAGTTTTTTAAATAATTCAATTTTTAAAATTAAATTTTAAAAAAATTTATTATAATTAAAAATTTTCTTAAAATTCATATGTTTACAAACTAATTACTATTAATAAAAGTCATAAAATTTCTTAATAAATTATAAAAATTGTAATAATTAAAGTTATTCTTTATGATAAATTTATAATATTTTATTATAATTAATATTACTAAAATAAATATTAATAAGATTGTCAAAGGTTAATGATAAAAATTTTAATTTAAAATTTTTTTAAAAATTACAATTTTTAGTTTATAAATAACTTTAAATTATTTATTATATAATAAAAGTTACTATAATATTATATATATTGATATAAAAAAAAAAAACTTTTATAAATTATTAAAATTATATATTATTAATCACAATTATAACTAATATAATGATTTTTAGTTATAACATAATTGGCTTTTTAAATTTGCAAAGTAATATAATAAAAACTATATAGATTTTATCAATAAAAGAAAAAAGGTATCAGAGAAAAAATCAATTTTATTATTTATATTAAAGATTAAATATGATTTTAAATTAAAATACGTTTAGATTAATATTAATTTATTTTTTATTTTTCTTGATAGTTCCTTCCTTTTTTCTTTGCAAAAATTCTATAATTGTCTATGCTAAGTAAATATAAAATATAATTATAATTAGTTTATACTTTATGTTTCAGACTTATTAACAGTTTCTGAAATCATTCTCTAATCTAACTATATTATATAAAATATATTTCTATTTTTCTATAAACTTATATTGACTTAATACTTTTGACATATCGGACATTTGCATGATTGGCCTATTACACAAAATCGTGTAACATAGCTGACACGGTCAGCAATTGACTCTGTGATATGGTTATGATGTTTACTTCTAATTGGATAGGTAAATGGAAGTTTTAACCAATAAGTATTTGCAATAACGTATTTCTCTAAAAAAAAAAAAAAAAAACCCTGATTTGATAGCCTCGTGTTTTTGGCATTGTCGCTTTTGAATGAGATTCAAATTCTGCAATCCATTCAGATTCTTTTTCTTTATTGTCAATGTCTATGAATAAATCCAGCTCAAATTGTGGAATTACAAAGTCCTCAGCAGTTTGCTAAAATGGAAGTTCATTAAAATTAAGATTTTGATTTTGAGAAAGTATTGAATGCCATTTTAATATTAATAAATGGTTTAATATAAATAATACAATAAATTAAATTCGTGTAAGATTAAATTAATGCTATTTTAATAAATTCTGAATAATAACGAAAGAAGTTTTTTAAAAAAATTCGATTATTTAAAAATAGAGTTTCGCGGCTTTTTGATTTTTTAATATTCTTAAAAAGACCAGCTGCTCCATATAATCGGCGTAACCTGTCACAAATGATTTTATTCAGCCAATTTGGTCATCATTGCATATTAAATCAGATGATTAATAACCAACCCTTGAAATTTCTGGAATTATGCTGGTTTGCCCATGTAATATGTAGCAAATTTCGCAACGGGTTCTTACATATGATCCAATTAATTAATTACAGTAAGTCTGTAATAAAAGATCCCTTTAGTGTCGTTTAAACATTTTTTTAGTTAATGACAAATACTTCTTCAAATTCTATCTCCTCTAGGAGAAATCCCTTAAACAGTGCGACTGCAGCACACTTAGCTTTAATGTCTAATTCGCCTGGTCCAACTTATCCAATGACTAATCCAATGTCTAATCCACCTCCTGCCATGTTGTCTGGCCAGACTTCCGCACCTTACTCCCGGCCAACAATTACTACATATCTTCTTAATACGTCGACTTCTCACGCTTCTGGTTCTTCTGCACGATCTGCTTACAATACTTCGTCTTCAGCCTTGTCCGTAAACACGTCAAATAAACAGTCAAAGTTGAAGACTCTGAAGCCAAAACTTCCGGAATACTTGGCTGACACGAGTTTTGCGGAATTATATTATAATTCCAACATGGAAAGATCTAACGCTAATATACTTGAAAAGAATCCACTAGAAAACTTGGCTTTGCCAACCGCATGGAATGTTGACGACAAGTGCGCACACCTAAACGTGGATCCTGACAAACTCAGAGTAAATTATATAGGTAATGGATAACGAATCTTTAGATCTTGAATCAATGTAATATTCTTTACATTTTTCATTGATTTCCTTTCATATTAATTGTTCACAAAGAGAAACATTCTACGATTTCTTTATATCGACAAATATATATATATAATCTTTCATTTCTTTTTAATATCTAAACTTTAAATTAACGCAAATTATTTTATTATGTAAATTTTAGGTTCTGGAAAGTATGACACAGATGCAGCTGCAATAAGAGCTAATTACCCTATGCCTCCGCAATGTGGATTATTTTATTTTGAAGTTGACATTATAAGTAAAGGAAAAGATGGGTGAGAAATTATTATTTAATACTAAAAGCAATATATATATTATGTTTCTATTATTGAATGCTGTTTGTCCATAGTTTTATTGGAATAGGATTTTGTTCAAAACAAGTTCATTTAAACCGTTTACCTGGTAAATCTCTGTTGAATAAGGTTTTCGTTTTGTGGAATCAATCATATTTATTTATTTGATGTCGACGTTGTTAATAATAGGGTGGGAGCCTGATTCGTGGGGTTATCATGGAGATGATGGACATTCTTTTTGTTGTTCAGGCACTGGTAGACAATATGGACCTACATTTACTACAGGTGACACTGTCGGGTGCTGTCTAAATTTCAGAGATGGCACAGCATTCTATACAAAGAACGGAAAACATCTAGGTGACAATTTATATATATTTATATGGTTAAAAAAGTTTATTATTTTTACTAACTTATTATTATTGTTTAAGGTGTTGCATTTCGAGATTTAAAGGGTGTTGTTTTATATCCTTCAATCGGGCTACGGACACAAGGAGAGTCTGTAGAAGTTAACTTTGGTCATAGAAATTTTAAATATGCAATTGAGCATTATATGAAGGTTAGATAATTTAATTGAGAGATTGTATCAGCTAATGTAATAGTATATTTATCGAATATATATTTCATAGGAAGAAAAGGCTCGATTATGGCACGCTATCGATACAAAACCCATGTCACCAATTTCATCGCCATTGACTTCTGCTCCCGTTTCTCAGGCTTCTTCAGAGACAAATCTTACAGCAACAGTTCATCAACTCATCTTATCCTATTTAGTTCATCATGGATATAGCGAAACTGCAAAGGCATTCTCTACAGATGCTGTACAACTCACACAAAACGACAGCAATGAAATGGAAGGTGTTGAAAGTGAAAATCCATTTTTAGATTTAGATAAGGATATCATTAACCGACAGAGTATGCAGATATGGATTGAAATTCATTCAACACGTATTACATCAATAAATAATGACTAAATTTGTATTTTAGGGATTCGTGATGCCGTCCTTAATGGTGATATCGACTGCGCCATCAAATTAACCAACGAATTTTATCCTTCGGTCTTGCCATCAAATGATGATATATATTTCCGACTTCGTTGTCGTAAATTCATAGAAATGATGGGGCTTTGCGCTGGCAGCCAAATCACATTTTCAGATGACGATGATGAAGAAATTGCAAAGCTCGATAAACATCATTTAATGATGGAGGATGAAGAAGATGACAATGAGGGCGAAGTTGAAGATGAAGTGATTGATGAAGAAGTAGTAATCGAAGAAGGTGTAGATGTAGACCTTGATGATGATGAAGACGATGAGGAAGAGGAGGGGGATGCTGATGAGGATGAAGGGGAAGACGAATATACGGATGCAATGGAAGCAATGGATGTTGATGATTACATTGCTTTGCAAAGTGATCGTGAGTCAATTGAGGAAGTTCATGGCTTGGTAACATCAATTAAAAAGAAAAAGATATCTAAGCGACGGAGAGGTGTTGGATCAGGGTTAAATGGATTAGGTGTGATTGAAGCCGCAATGCGGTTTGGTCAAGAATTACAAGATGATTATCGTGATGATAAGCGTGAAGAAATAAAAAAAACGCTAGAGGTCAGCCATTTTATTAGTGTAATTATAACAGTGATAATTTCGAACTTAAGTGGTATTTTTTTTATAGGAAACATTTTCGTTACTGGCATATAATGACCCACGAAAAAGTGTTGTTTCGTATCTTCTTGATCCTTCGGGTAGAGAACCAGTAGCAAATGCTCTGAATAGTGCTATTTTAGGTATTGTTAACTTTCTCATTATTTCATTATATACTTAATTTATTGATCAATACATATATAATTTTTTTTTATTTTATTTTATTTTTTTTCTAGTGTCACAAGGAAAACCTCCTATCCCACCATTAGAAAAAGTTTACCGGCAATCCTCTGCTGTTCTGAATGAACTTGCAAGGAATGGAGTTGGTTCCAGTGCTTTTGTAAATCTGCGCAAGGATTGCTTGGTTTAAAGAACAATATTGGTTACTAAGATGTATAAACTTTCAATTTATTTATATATTTGTTTTTATTTTTTTTAGGACATTTTCTCACAAAGTTTTTCCCGTCACGTTTTATAAACTTATTTTAGTGTACAAAATTTTTTTTTTCTTATTTAAATTGGGCTATAAATTCTGTATATTTTTATACTTAAATTCATGTCACCAATCATCTAAATCTTTTATAATTAGTTTACTTGCTGTTGACGGACCAAATGGGTCAATCAAGCATTTAGAAACTTAATAATTAAACTTTAATAATTTGTGGTAGTTTAATATTATTTAATTCTAGTCGACATTATTTAATGCAAGGAATTCATCATGAATTAAATGATATGTAGGTAACCTTGCTCACTTTAGGTTATTTGCACACTCTTCAATAGATATTTTTCACATAATTCGTTTTTCACAGGATAAAAAGATTAATAGCATCCATAAGATTTGCTTTACCTAATTAAACGATGTTAATTAAATAACAAACCTAAAATTCAAATATTTGACATGAAATAGTAGAAAAGACAATTAAAAATTATTTAATCCCAGTTTATGTAAATATTTTCATTTTTTAAAATAGTCTCAAACAGTTTTTAATTAGAATGAGAACAGGATTGGTCAAATGCATTTTAAGAGAAATGATGATAATATAGATTGTGTCACATGAATACGTAATCGTAAAAAAAAGTATTTAATTATTTTAATAAAGTATATCTTTTCCATAGGAATTTTATTTTCAATTGAGCTAGAAAAATCATATGCGGACAATAGTTTTATATATAATTATTTTTTTTTTTTGATTATTTCTATATGCAAAAATGTATTTTAAATTTAATTTATTGTAAATTTTTAGAATTAGAAAGTTATTATTAAATATTAAAAAAATGATTTGAATTAAAGTAAATAAATATAATAGTTCTAATAAAATAACAAAAGAAGATAATTATATAAATTATATTTAAAATAATAAAGCAATTAATTGTTGTAATTAATTATAATTTATTATTAAAATTATTGAATTTATTATTTTAAATGTATTAAATAATAGATATTTTATCAAATTTTATATTAAATTTTAAAAATAATTATATTTAATTAATATTTTAAAAAATTAAAATAAATTAAACTTTAAATTTATAATTTTAATATTACTAATATAAATTAAATATATATACTTAATTTCAAATATACAGTCCCCATCAAAAGTAATGGTGGTTGGGGACATTGCTTCTTATGTAGACCACAGCAACTCCGTTATCCCAATTTGGCTCATTGTTTATTAGACCAAATTGGATAATGGTATGTTTATAT